CTCACCCTGTAGACCAGGCTAGGCTTGAACTCAGAAACCTGCCTGCCTCTGATCAATGGTGTCTACCCCCTCCCACCTCGGTTTCAAAAGGAAACCTTATTTATTAAGACTGAGGGTTTGGCAAGGTTGCACATGCCTTTAAACCCAGTGCTCCCAGGCAGTACCTGATGAATATGTATGAGTTGCAGGCCAGTCAGGGTTACAAGGAGGAGCCTATCTCCAAAGGAAAAAGTAGAACTAGGGAGGGGGAAGACCAAAGTTCACACAATATGACAGGGTATGTTCCCTAAGGGTGACTGAGACAGGTAGCTTGAAAGCTGGGGTACTTCAATGCTTACTTCCTCTCTAGATTGTTTTTTAACAACACTTCATACAATGTAAACACTCTGTAAACGTGTTATACTAGTGTTTAGGGGATAATGACAAGAAAAAAGCCTCCCTTTAGAACAGTTGCAATTTGAAAAGAAACAAACAAACTAACCTTTCAGTGTGCAGTTGGTTGAATCTGGAGAGGTGGGACCTCAACACAAAAGTGCAGAATGTATTGATTTTGGTCAAACCTGAATGGGAACAAGGTATTCTACAGGGTGGTCACAGAAAGTACTGGGAGACTGTTCTTAAGGAAAAAGTCACACTAAGCAGCCAAATGAGGAAAGGAAAGCGGCTCTGATTCAAAGAGACGGAGAACAGTCTTGCGTGTACAAATACAATACAACAATGCTGAGCGCCCATCCACAAAGGAGGAGTGCAGAGAAACCGGAAGATAAGCGGCTGTCAGAAGCAGAAAGCTACCCGGCTGGAGTTCCAGAAGTTGGTGACATTAAAGCTCATAAGACCCCCATGCCCAAGGTTACTGTGGAGTGGGCCAAGGAGAAACCCTGCCATGTCTAGCTCTACATCACAGACACATGGATTCTACTGAGGCAGCCCTTGAAGCAGCAGGCCACGGCAGCAGCACTTAGCAAGTCACATGTCACATGTCACAGAGGTGCACATAGACGAAATCGTCACGACCCAGCTGGAACATTGGCAAACTATCATTCTCCCCTGTGAAACAGACCTTGACATCCCTGGGGAGAATCCTGCCCCTTCTCCGCCCCGAAAATAACTGTCAGGCCCAAAGCAGCATGGGACAATGCAGCCTGCTGTACACATCATAACCCCTTTCCTTCAGGGTCTCGGCATGTCTCTGCAAAGAACATGCCAAGCTCTGTTTAGCTGGGAAGCTAGCAAACTTGCACAGGCCTGGTATAGCAAAGCAACAGTAGAGAAATAAGAAATGGCTGGGTAGGTAGTCCTCCTGAGCGAGCCGAGAGCAGAACCTATGGGTGTACACTGACATGTAAGGACTGTTACATAGCATAGGCTCGCAGGTTTTAACACTTAACAGGAAGATTGAAAAGATGAATAAATAAATCTAAGACTTTAGTCTACATAGCAATCAAACATCCATAATGTATTTGCTGAGTAAATTTAAATACAGAAGAGACAACAGGAAACATACAAGATTAAGGTCAAGAAACAAAAGGTAACTACACGAGGAAAGGGTCTTCTGTACTGTATACTCACCCAAACTTATGGCAATAAATCTCAAGATATAGAATATGTAGATAATTTCCTAACAAATACAAATGACTAAAATTAAAACCAAAAGATTTGAACAGATTGGTTTCCACAGAAGAAAACATTGAAAAGGTAATGAGGGTTAAAGATACCAAGTCCAGATGTACTTTACAAGGGAGTTTCATCAGACCTTCAAAGGAAACATAATTTCTAAGTGTCATTAAAGTATTATGGGTCAAAGAAAAAGAAGAAATGCTCTATACTATGTTACCCATCTTATCTTTAATCTTCAAATCTAATAAGAAAACACAAACGATTTCAGTCTCACTTATGAATACTGAAGATACATTCTAAACAAAATGCTGATAAACAGAAGTCAGCTTTGTATCAAAATAATAACATACCGTGATTAGCAGGCTTACTTCAGTAAATTCAGAAATCATATCAAAATAATCCATTGCATTGAAAAAATAAACAAGAGTCCGGAGTATATCTCAGTAGCATCAAAATAATAACATACCGTGATTAGCAGGCTTACTTCAGTAAATTCAGAAATCATATCAAAATAATCCATTGCATTGAAAAATAAACAAGAGTCCGGAGTATATCTCAGTAGCACAGAACGTGACTAATGTGCTTCAGGAAAGAAAAGAAAAAAACTTAGAGCGAACTTTCAAACTCACACAGATGCCATTAATATACAGTAACCAACCCTGTAAGTAAATGTGAAAACACAAAACTGAGAACTTAAAGAAGTGTAAAAGAACACAGAAAAGATTTTGACTTAAAAATCTTTAAGCTGCAGGGCATTGGTGGCGTACGCCTTTAATCCCAGCACTTGGAAGCCAGAGGCAGCCGGATCTCTGTGAGTTTGAGACCAGCCTGGTCCACAGAGCTATTTTCACGACAGGCTCCAAAGCCACAGAGAAACCCTGTATCGAAAAACCAACAACAACAACAAAAAATCTTCAAGCCATCAACATGATTTCTAATTAGCTATCTGAATTTCTACAAAACACAACAAAAATGTAAGTATTGAAAAGATAGAAGAAAAATGAAATTTACCAGAAATAATAGGAGAATCTGTATAATGGCTGGACATCAGATAAATATTCATAAAAATCAATAATCATTTTCCTTGATAGCAAACAGCACTTAGCAATGGAGATGAGAGAGGTATTTGAGCCCCAGCAGAAGAAAACCTATTAATTCTTGAGAAATGCATCAAAAAGGAGCAGAAAATAGATAAGAAGAAAAGAATAGATCTAATTAACACAAAATCAGATGTGAACATGCAAAGAAATACAATTTCTTAGTTAAAAAGAACTACATAATTAAAAAGTTAAACCCAAAGTAATGTAATTCTAATTAGAATCCTAGAAGAACTGGATGAGAATATTGAGTAAAAGGAGACTTTAAAATGTATAAATCGGAAAAATATCAAGACAGTGCTAAATGAATTTTAAACTAATGTAATCAAGTGAATATGCTCTTGGTACACAATCCAATGGAACAGAACAGAGAATCAATAACTTGAGTCTAGTACATAAAGCATTTAATAGCTGACAATGATGAATGTTCAGTTTACAGGAAAAAGCAGGGAGTATGTAATATACTGTTCTAGTACAACTGGTTATCCATCTTTGCTAAAGCAACTAAATAGAATTGGAAATGTCAAAGTTACCTAAAAATAATATTTGTATAGAAAAAATATTATTGCAAGACATTCACATATGCACACAAAAATTGAAAGCAACAATACAGAAGGCAGTACACACTAATGGTTATCTCAGCATTATGAAAAATGATAGTGCTCACTTCGGCAGCACATATACTAAAATTGGAACGATACAGAGAAAAAAATAAACATTCATTAATATGGAAATGCCAAGATATTGTATATTTATGAAATATTTTGCAGCCTTCTGAAATAAGACTTATACAATAGACTTTAATAGATTTCCATGAGATGCTGTTGAGTGAAAAAAAATAGGATGTATTAAAGAATAAAAACAATTAACAAAACTTCTAGAAGCCACATAAGCTTGTCCATGCACATGGAGAAAGATACGTACTGGTTTGATATATGGAGGGACAGTATGAGTTAGGGGCCAAGCAAAAAGAAATTGCAAAGAACTACGATGAAATACCCAGTAAACGCATTTATGTATACTCATTATGTATGAGTATAAAAATAAGTAAATTAAATTTAATTGAGAAAATATGAGTAAACAATGTGATTTTTGCTTGTCAAAAAAAGAAAGGCAATAACTGAAACTATCTCTTGGTGTTAGGAGGGAGATGATATGTATTTTTTGATGAGAATTGTTGCTTTCATCCTAATGAAATAAAATCAATGAATGTTGCTTTAAAAACATTACACTGAATAATTGAGCTCATTTTGAAAAGGCAAGAGAGGGAAGTGAGGTTAAATAGGCCTTTTCTGTGGGAGCTGTCCACATAAAATATATAAAGTCAGGATCCATTACCCCTCACCCGGAAGAAAGTTACTCACCTTAGGCAAGAGACTAAGTGGCTATTCTGAGGAGCTTTTTGCAGTGGCAAATGGGATAGTTTTCCCCCTACCTAACACTCTAATGACTTAAGTAAATCAGAAAGCCATTTACTCTACTCTCGACTATCCAAGTTGCTGCTAGGCCTATTACTTCCTGTTCCCTCCCTCTGGCCATTTCACTATTCACAAATAGCTCCAACATGGGGATGGGTGGGGGAGGGAGAGAGGAAATTAATTCAGCCCATTTCCCTTCGCACTAGCAACTCTAATAAAAGGTCTGATGAGGGAGATGATCACAACTCATGGCTAAAATGAGGGTTCTGGGATTCTTACTAATTTAATTTAAGTAAACTTGCCTTCAGAGAAACATGTCCACTTGCAGTATACTTTAATGGAATTGTTATCTGCTGATATTTTAAAGAAAGTCAGTATTTATAGGACTAAGGTTGTGGCTCAGTGGGAGACAACTGTGCAGCAGGTATAAGGCCCTGAGTTCAATTTCCAGAATCCCTGTCACTTCATTTTGTACCTAAAGGAAAAATGGCCATTAAGACACAGGCCTTCAATACCACATCATCAGTGAAGAGATTGTTAGGGGAGACTATGGAATAAAGCTAGGTGGCCCCCAGCAGCTCTCAAGAGTAGCCTCAGTAGGACAACAAGCTGCCAAGCCACTGTGCTTTGGTTGAGTAATCCCAAAGACTGGCTCAGTAGGATTTGCCAGAGCTCAAAAACAACTACAACCCACATACAACACGTACATGACAGTTCAGTGGACCCCTACAGATGGTCATTCGTCATAAAAGACCAGAGAACCAAGCAGTACAATCCAGGAGGTTGACACCACACTGTCCCCTATCATCAAATGGAAAGAATAGCCTGCAAAGGAAGGGCAATGGAGCAAAACACAATTTTCTCTTACTTGAAGATGACGATAGCTCCCGGACACGGAGGGCAGGCCAGGAGGAAGATCTGCAATTGAAGAATTAAGAATGGTTAGTGAGCAAATCACTGAGCACGGTGACTCAGGGTTACTTTAATAATAACATTTTTATAAAGCAAAACTTTAACACAAAAAATGTAATATAAGAAAATTAGGAAAGTATGTTGTGCTGGTTAAAATTTTTATATATCTGGTAAACAGATAGTTCACCAGAATTCATTTGTATTTTCGTGTGTGTGTGTGTGTGTGTGTGTGTGTGTGAGAGAGAGAGAGAGAGAGAGAGAGAGAGAGAGAGAGAGAGAGAGAGAGAGAGAGAGAGACAGAGTTGATTTTTCAGTGCTTTAACTTCAATATGTCGTAAGTAGTCAGTCTTTGAAGCTTTAACCCAGGGCAGGTAAAAATAGATTCTGCCCATGGAAGATGCACACATATGCCATCAGATTTGCCTCCCATGAGGATAGGTACTTATCAATACTCAGAGCTTCCAAACCTAGCATATGAAAATACAGGGCACCAAGTTAAATTGCTGGAAGTGTTGCATGAAGCACATTTCTATTATGCTTTGTGTTTATCTGAAAATTGGATGTAGTTGGGGATCCCGAATTTTTCCAAAACTCCAACGAACTGCCATAAACCCCACTGGATTTTTTTTCTGCACATCAACCTAGGTAATTGTTTAAGGTCCTGTTATCACGACAGGCAACAATGCAAACCAAAAGAATCTGTCATTCTAAGAGAGCAATCAGCTCGCTGCTATTGTGTGTGACACAGGCCTGGACTACAGCCTCTGAAGACCTGCAGTGGTTTGGCCTCTACCCATATGGTGGTCTTCAACTGCCATCAAGGACAGAGCATCCTTTGCAAAACTTGCTAAATATGAAAAATCCTGGCTTCTTACAAGAAGCATTCTGACTCTGCAGACCCGGGGCCTCCCCCCACCACTTCTGCATGCTGAAGTGGAGTGAGGTCAGTCATTCTTGGTAGCCTCACACGCTACCTCTTGGACTGAGGGCCAAAGACACATGGGCCTGAGGATTAACTAATACCTAAACCTTATGTTTGCAGGGTTCCTTGACCTAAACTCATTTGGTTGTGTGGGTTTAAAAACTCATTGATAGCTGTCCCTGTCATGGTGAAAGCTCTGCTAATTTCCATTATGGACTTGTCTGCTTTGCCAATTGTGCGTGTTTTGGCATTTTGTTCCTCCATTCTGAGGACCCTACAGTGAGAAGAATAGTCTGTACCATAGGGAAGACATCTGCTTGGCCACTAGAATCCCCGCTAAGAGGAAAAGAAGGGAGTGTGGGAAAGAGGAAGTGTTTGGGAAAGATGGCAGTCCATCATCCGCGAGCAGGGAACCCATCCCAGGGAAGAGGCATCTAACAGCACCCAGGCCCATCCTTTCCCCTGTGGGTCCATTTGATTAAAGTGAAAACTCAATAACAATTTCAGGTCCACAGTCCTCCATTGGTAAGCCCCAAATCCAAAAGGCTCTAAAACAAAAAATGTATGCTTGTTCAAAGCATGACGTGAATAGAGGTAGATCTCACTTTATTTGTGGAGAATTTTCACCAGTTCCCACAGAAATAAGATGTTTTTCATTGCATGGGGTGCAGTCCCAGACCTCACTGGGAGTACATGGGAAATACTCTTACCATCCACTGGGTTGCCTTTCTAAAATACCAAAGAAATGAATTGCTGAACTACAACTCACTCTACTGGTTTGAATAAAGATCAGGTACTTGAAATTTTGATTCTGCAAATATTAGTTTCTCCCCACACCCTAGCCTAGTCCTCAGGAGCAGTCCAAGAAAGAGCTAAATGAAACTGGTGTTCTTTACCTCAGACACAGCAGAAAGGTTACTTACCTTAGGCAAAGGACCAAGTTTGGAGGCTGTACATAGTTACCCAGCAACAGGCCCACCAAAGCCTACACTTTGAAGCTACAGTACAGTACAGTACCAACCATCTTGGAAAGGTCTCCAGTTAATCAGGAATACCCCAGAGAGTCACACCAGCAGCCCAAGTTTCTAAAATACCCAGACACTTGCAACATGCCAAACAGAAAGTTGAAAGGCAACATTGGGGCTCACAATTAACGAAGTCTTCCTTTTTTGAGTCGGTAGCCTAGAGGGTCAAACACATACCTGTTTAACTGGTTCTGTACTTCCCTTAGGCAGATATTCAAGAACTTACTATAAGTTCTTGATAAGGATTAAGCCTCCAGTTCCAAAATACCAAAGAAATTGCTCAACTACAACTAACTCCATTCTCCAGTTAGCCTCCACCACTCACAGAGATAGCTAGCTAGCCTAGTCTTGAGTCTACATGAACTTACCAACAGTTACTTTCATAGGGTCAAAGCGTTCTAATTGACATTCTGGCCTTTCTCACCTTGCCTGTCTATGCCTATCACCAGGATAGAGAACCTTTTTCCCCCCAAGCAATCTTTGAATCAAATACAGTGAATAAACTAGCAAAAAAAAAAAAAAACGAACCCACCTCAATAATCAACACATTCTATTTCTCGGTAACCCACAGCCTCTTCCAGCCACTCGAAATATTTCTGAAATTGAACCTCTGCTTAGTCAGGCTAAGGTCACAACTGTAATGATTCCTAGTTGATGGTGCATTGTAAAAATATTTTAACTTATCAACCCATAGATCCCCAGCTTTGCTTTGCCTTCCTTTGTTTCCTTTATTGGGAGGCTCCACCACCTCCACCTTTTGATAGCATATGTTTTAGACTGGCAGAAGGAAAACTAAAGCATCTCTTGAGCTGCAAACAGTAGGAGAGGACGCCCAGAAGTACAAACAAAGAAGATGAGAATACATGCCAGCATATCCCAGCACCTACTTGGCCCTCTCAATGTTCCAAATTGCCCAGCACAGCTCCTAAAGCAAGGAGCTAAAAACAGGGAGCGAGCAGAATGGTGCTACAGAGAACTGACACATCCCATCGAAGGCGGGGCCATGCTACTGAACCTCGTCTCACAGATGAAGAGACGACAGAGAATAGTTCTCACAAGCATGAAACCCCAATTCAATATACTTGACACCTCACACTCTTAAGCCAGGCCACAAAGGCTTCTTCTCCTCAGGCTGTAGCTCTGTCCATTCACTGCAGAGAATATACAGGGTTTTATGCCAGCACTACCATACATTTGTGAGATCTATTTTCTACACCATAAGACATCTCAAAACATACCCAACAGGGCAGTCCATCACACAGATCCAGCAATGCCCACTCAAGTTCATTTTAGATAAACTCGTATCTTAGCCCCAGATCTGGGAGATACATGTGATTCGCAAACCCTTATAAAACTCAAGTCTTTATAAGACTTGTCATATAAGGCTAATCATTCCAGGGGAAAAATGTCCAGATGCTATTGAAAACCAGTTACAATTCCCTAGGAAAAACCACATACAAGTCCAAGGTCGTCCAGCCCAGAAAACAATACATTTAACTCTCTTCAGTTACCTAGTTGCTGTCTTAATTCATTGTCTATCTCTGAACCATTGTGGTTCCAGGCCCCCCACCTTGCCTCTGACCCTCTCAGCCATCACTTGTCCTACTCCCTATTCCTGTTCTTCCTGTTCTCAGTCATACTGGCTCCACGTTTACCAAAGACCATCTATCCTAAAGGAGCTGCTCGCCCAGTTAAGCACTGAAGGGATATGGTTGAAGGACATGAAATGGAAACTGAGAGTAAGAGGCACAAGAGACTGACATGGAGCCTAGCACACCTTCTTCCAGGTCCTAGTCCTCTGCTCCCGGTTTTCCTGGTTCCACTTCTGATGAAGACACCCAGATATCTAGGGATGCCTAAGGACGAGTGCTTATGAGTATCACTTACCACAGGGAAGATCACATTCCTGGGTTGCACAAAGTCTATCTGAAACTCTACTCACTCCTGCTCATACCTTTCTCTCTGGACCACTGTGACCATCTCTTCCATATGTACCACCACCAGGCCCAATGTTACAAGAAGGATCTATCTAAAATGCCACTCGGCTGTGCTATTTTAGATCCTCCCAAGGCTAGCCAATACCTAAAGAAAAGCACAGCAGATAAGAACATCTGTGTTCCAGGCTCCATCTATCATGTGTACATGCACAATGCCAACTGTACCCTGAACATATAATTGGCTGCTCAATGCGCTTCTATGGCTTCATTTCTTTGTTCACTTAAAAAATTACTATTTAAATGTATAGTAGAGTGAGGCTATTTTGCCTGCATGTATGCCTGTGCATCACATGGGTACAGTGCTCAAGGAGGCCAGAGGTTGGCATCAGATCCCCGGAATCTGGAGTTACAGACAGGTTGTGAGCCATCATGTGGGTGCTGGGACTTGAACCTGGGTCTTCTGCAAGAGCAGCCAGTGCTCTTAACCGTAGAGCCAGCCCCATCTACAGCTTACTCTCTAACAGCTTCACCTAACTCAGTGAACATGCAATTATTTACCAAGTTCCTTTACCATTTCCTTAGTCCAGCAATAGAAAACTTTCTAGGTCCAAGGAAATACAAATAGTTACCCCTCCTATCCATGGGGAATTGGTTCCAAGACCCCTCCAGATCCCCACATTTGTGGGTGTTCAAATCTATTATGGAAAATGCCATAGCGTTTACATTTCACCTATTTTTGTTTCCCTATATATTTTAATGATCTCTAAATTATTTATAATGCCTAATACAATGTAAATGCTATGTAAATATGTGTTACGGGGCTAATGTTAAGAGAAAGAACTGTCCCACACATTCTAATTACAAATAGAATTTTTTTTTTTTGGTTTTTCGAGACAGGGCTTCTCTGTATTGTTTTGGAGCTGGTCTCGAACTTACAGCGATCCGCCTGCCTCTGCCTCCCGAGTGCTGGGATTAAAGGCATGCGCCACCAACGCCTGGCTACAAATGGAATTTTTAAAAAATAGCTTGTCCTGCAGTTTGTTGATTCTCAGATATGGAACCAAAAGATATGGAAAGCCAACTATATGCCTTATGGTTTTTGATTTCATAATGATAAACTGT